AAGTAATTTACTACACTGCAACTAGCTATCATTTTCCCTTTACCTCAGTCTTGATGGCCCAACCAGAGGGCTACCGGTACCAGCTGCTGTTGAGTTGTATTTAACTCATGGTGGGTTCATGTGTGTCAGAGTAGAGCTGTGCTCCTAGGGTTTTCAGTGGCTGATTTTTTGGAAGAAGATCATCAAGCTTTTCTTCCAAGGAGCCTCTGTGTGGGCTCAAACCGCTGAGCATGTTAATTGTTTACCCTACCAAAGGCCTCCACCCAGAGGACTACGTAAGGGTAAAAGATAAATACTAGGCCAATTGGCTCTAGGTCTAGGATATTTAATGTAATGTGGTCTCCAGCTATTGGCCACTTTGGCAATTTACCAGAGTCAGCAGGGTTGTCCTTAACCCAAGAAAAAAATGGAAGTGCTTTAGGAGAGAATATGGGCATACCACACGTAAGTTGTCAGGTCTTGATAAACGCAATTCTGATGTTACCAGTCCTGTCCAATGCTGGTCTTGGCTGAAGGAAAGGACTCAAAGTCTGAATGGAGGACCACAGCCAGGCAGAAGGGAGTGGTTACCCCAAAGCAGGCTGGGTACATTCCCATGATCCTCTCTCACAGAGGTGTGTTCCTGGCAAAGCACTGTTCTTGATTCATGAGTTGCCCAAGATCACTAGGCAAGTGTTGCTTTGCCCTTTTATATTGTCTGAGGTTGGCATTCAGGAAAGTGTGGGGACTCAGGATTGCTATTGTGTAAAGCAGGGTGGCATGCAGGCTGCACATGGGTCAGAAGTCAAATGATGTATAGGGATGCTCTTTCAGCTTCTGTTTTTACTGTTCATTTTCTACAAAGGTTTACTGAGCACCAGGCCAGACACTGTGGCAGGCACAGTGGTGAAGTGGTCCCTGTCCCCAGGAAACATTTGGTCTGGTTGCAGAGCTTGGACTCTTAATCACTGTGCTTTGTAGTCTCTAAAGTACACTTGTCCTCCATTAGTTTGTGAACTCCTTGAGGGCAAGAGTGGTGTCTTATTCTTCTTTGATCCTAGCACTGGCTGGCATGAATTGGAGCTCAATAAACAGAAGTGAATTGAGTAAGTCATTTAATTCATACAAATAAGGGACTTTCAGGGGCTCAGAGTGAGCTGATGGTCTAGACCAGCCTGGCAGATTCTGAGTCTGTCCTTTTAGATGCTTTCAGAAATCAGTCTCTATGACAAAAAGTAGAGGTTGTCCACATTCCCGTTCATCCATGACATGAAGCTCTTCACCTGAATGTCTTTCTCTTCCAGTGAGGGTCTCATAAATTTGGGCCTTGCCTGTCAGCCAGTAGACTCCTTGGATTAAGTCAGCTGGGTCTGGAGTAAAGGGGGAAGGCCTTCCTAGGAGATAAAGCAGCCAGGGCAGTACCACCGAGAAAACTTTTCCAAGTCTCTTGGACACACACACTATGCATGGATACCTTACCTGTGTTGTGATTTTCACATTCTTGGCTCATCAAAAATTCCAGGCCTGGGAAAACTTATTCTCTTTGCTTGTGGTTTCTTCTCTTCCCTCTTTCTCACAGACCCCACAGTCAAATGCATGAGTGGGGAGAAGAGACAGGGAAAGCAGCTGCTGCCCAAGCACATTCTCTAAAAATGTCCCCTTTCAACAACTGGACTTAAGGAAATACATAGAAATGCCACCTGTTGAGACCAGAAAGGGCCCTCTGCTCAAGGGACTTGACCTTTGACTTGGTTGGCATACTCACCTTATTCAGTAATCATATTCAAGATTGTGTCAAGTCTCATGGTCTAACCTCCTGTTACCTACATCTGGCTTCAGATCCTGTACTCATCTCACTCGAGCAACATTGGCCTCCTCACTATTCATCAATACACTAGGCTGGCTCTAACCTGAGGGTCTCTGCACTGGCTGTTACCTCACTCCTCTCCCATACTTATATGGCTAATGCTTTCACCCTTTTTCAAGTCTTTCCTTAAATCTCACCTTCTCTAAGACTGATTTGCGGTGTTTGCCGATTTCCCTGGTGTAAATACACCTAGCACCATTGATTTCATGCTACAAAAGTGACGTCAACAAGCTCAAAAACTTCTGAAATATTAACATTTGGTTCTCACCAGCTGGTACGAGTGAGCATCAGCACAGCACTGTGTTTCTGTTTCAGCTAAGCATTCCCTAAACCACAAGGGTTATCCACACCACACTGGGAAACACTGCTTGGATAAAACCTCTTGTAGAGGCAAGACTTTCTTTGTTGTTTCCTTTGTTAGTTGCTGTTGAGTTGGCTCCAACTCATGGCAACCTCATGTACAATAAAATGAAATGTTACGCAGTCCTGCACCATCTTCGTTATCATTGGTATGTCTTCCAACCTGGGGGACTCATCTTCCAGCACTGTATCAGACAATATTCAGCACTGTATTCAACAATAGGAGCCCTGGTGGTATAGTGCCTAAGGCATTTGACTGCTAACCAAAAGGCTGGCAGTTCAAACCCACCAGCCACTCCTCAGAAGGAAGGTTGGGCAATTTAATTCCATAGTGATACCTCCTCAGAAACCCAAAGAGGGGTCACTGTGAGTCAGATACGACTTGACAGCAGTGGGTTTGTTTTTTGTATATTCAACAATGTTCTGTTGTGACTCATAAAGTTTGCATCAGTTAATTTTAGCTCTGGTGACGTAGGCATTTGATTGCTAACCAGTAGGCTAGTGGTTCAAACTCACCAGCCACTCCTCGGAAGGAAGATTGAGCAATCTACTTCCGTAGAGATACCATCTTGGAAACCCAAGCAGGGCTCCCTGCGAGTTGGGACCAACTCGATGGCAGTGAATTTTTTTTTTTTCCTTTAGAAGTTGATCTCCAGGCCTTTCTTTCTAGGCTGTCTTTGTCCGGCAGCTCCACTGAAACCTGTGCACCGTGGTGAACTTGCTGATATTAGAAATACTAGTGGCATAGCTTTCAGCATTGTAATAACGAGCAAGCCACCTCAGTACAACAAACTGACAGACAGGTGGTGGAGGCTTTCCCCAGGACAGGTTTAATCAGCCTCTTGTTGATCAGGATTGTTTCATTGAGAATAGGTGTTTGTTCCTGGCTCCAGAACAGCAAATTCTTCTTCAAAGCTAGGGTAGTAACTAGCTTTTCTTATGTAGTCATCACAAAAATAGTGGACAGTAATTTTCCAATAAAGACCATAGAATTAGCAAATATGGTCATTAACAAGCAGTAACTTGCACAGCTCTTGGAAATTGCACTCATCTTAACAGAGAACTCTCCACCTCTGCTAGGTGGGCCAAGTCTGTCTCAAAAAGCAGATAATGTGATTGAGTCCCAGTGCTTCTCCAACTATTACAAAATACACATTATCTACACTCTAGATCTGTGCAGTCTTAACTATTCAGTTGAGTTACTCATTCTGAAGTTTTCATTAATTTTTTTTCAAATTTAAGTTACTACATGTTACCCTCATTCCACAGATATACAGACCCCCCCCCCACACACACACAAGCACATATATTTAACAACATTTTTTCCCATTCTAGAAACAAGAAGTGAGGGAACCTAGTCTTTATGGACCACAAATGAGGAAAGAGAATCTCAGATAGGTTAAGAAATTTACTCAAAGCTCATATGTAGGCACTAGGATTCAAACTCAGCATATATATATATATATATATATATATATA